AACAAACTCAAAATCACAGAATTCCATAGGATGGAATCATGGCAAAGCAAAGCAAAGCAGCTTCATTTATATGCCACTTCATATCACGCTATGGGATGTCTAAGTGGTTTACAACTGTAAGCTCATTGCCCCCCAACAGTTGGGTACTCATTTTAGCGACCTCGGATGGATGCAGGCCTGAGTCTAGCCTGAGCCCTGGCTAGTATTGAACTCGCAACCTTGTGGTCTATGAGTGAGTGGCTGCAGTATAGGCATTTAATCACTGTGCCACCAGGGCTCTATTATTTCTGCAGTGCAGATGCAGCCATGACTTTTGAATAGGGGCATGTTTCTTCCATGCCATGCTACAGCTCTCTGTTCTGATTGCCTGTTTTCTTCTAGACCACACAACAGGCATTTTGTTGCCAAGACTGGACTGTTACAGCCCAGTTTCATGGCCACAGTTCCTGTCCATCTCATCCATTGGGTTGGCATCTTTCTTATAAATAGTCAAAATAATAGTTTGGGTTTGTTTGTTTGTTTGTTTTAAAAACTTCTTAAGCAGTGACTACAAGTTCCTTATGATCAGTTAAGCATTTGAAACGCTGGAGAAAAGAATGCCAAGGACACTAGAACACTGACAAATCAAACTGTTGAGATAACATTTCCAAAGTTCTGTAAGTTAAGAAATCCTCACCTATAATTACTTTTTTTCTTTGAAAAAGAAAATGAAAACTACTTTCATATAACTCAAAGTATTTGTAGATATGGGACTGGAAAACTACCAGATTCAAAATAAATTGAAGAGACAGTTTAATTGTGTTCTCACATCAATCATATCACATCAGTGAGTACTATGTTGATAAGAACCGTGTAATTCCATTTAGAAAGCCAATATTGTAAATCTCAGCAACAATTTTGATGACACTGTTTTTCTTAGTCATTTATATTCTATGCAGGTAAAATATTTGGGTGCCACTTGTTAAGGTAAGCTGCACCATGTCAATTTATACCAAGTGTATCTCATGCCAGTTTATTTTGCTGTAACTTATCAATATGCCAAAATCATACAAGATTGCCATTATACTTTGCTCCTTGAACAATGAATGGCAGATGTGCAAGGTTATCTCAGAATGAGATATGATGTTCCCAGGGGCTTTTTACAAGCTTTTTAAAGTCATTCATCATGCATAAAACACATATAAGCTGAGGAGGGAATAGTAGTAGCTTTCTTTGTAAAACTTGCCTCTTTTCTGCTAAGAGTCTAACACCAGTCCAAGTAGCAGAGATTCATATTGAAAGGAGACAACAATTCACTTGACTAAATTGGCATGCTGGAAGTGTGTGTTGCACAGAACTGCACATCTCTGTAGATGTCCTGAACCGATTGTAAGAAAATTGTTTAGCTGTTTTGAGCCCCAGTTCTAAGAGGAATGTGGGGAATGATGCATGGAGTGTGAGAGAGAGATCAACTCAGCATCTGACTAGCATTTACGTCAACCCACATTATAGTATGACCACAATGTTTCTAAAAGCACAGTACACTGTAGTGTAGTTAATATGGGATAAGTAGGAAATTGTTTCAGAGCAAAGCAGCTGCATTATTGTTTTAGGAAGCACACAGAGAATTTTGCATGGCTATAAATGCACATTATTAACATACTAATTTGGTAGGTTGAACTGGAACACACTGGAACAGCACACTTCTGGATCACTTCATCCATATCTGAGTTGCCTCACACAATTCACAATGAACCAAGCCAAATGTAGACAGATTTCATCAACCATTTTTCCTGAGTTTCTAGGACTGAAAATACAAAGGGTGACAAATATCAGAAGGGGGTTGGAAAGCACATGGGTTTTGTTTGCCTTCAGTAGTGGTCTTCCACAGGTTATGTAGGCTGGTATTATGTATTATTTTGGGTTTTTAAAAAATGAATTATGAATGAATCATTCTGTAGAAAAATATCTTTAGATTATTCAAATGTAAGCCATAGGAGTCAGAATTTCCCTTCCTTTTATTTATTTCAAATTAAGGTTTGTTTTACTACCTTCATTTTTTAAAATATTGGTCTTATTATCAATTGTTGAATAATGATTTGATGTAATCATCTTTATTTGTTTCAAAAGGAGCATAGCAGCTACTGATCATGAACCAACAGATGCCCGGAAATCATTTCCTTGTTTTGATGAACCTAACAAAAAGGCAACTTACAAGATCTCTATTATCCATGAGACTAGATATCGAGCTTTGTCGAACATGCCAGTGGAGGTATGCAGTTAACCATTTAATGTCCCTGTCTCTGTGTGCATAATATATGAAACCTGGTAACAGTTACAAAGTAAACACTTGCTCTGTAACAATCCTTTCATGTGAAAATGGAGGACCACCAGTAAGGGTTGGAATAGACCAATCCCTCCAGCCTACCAGAACAGGCATTTTTCCCCTCCTGATTTGACTGTTAGTGAAGCTAGAGAAGATATGGCTCCTCTGGAGATACCAATTCACGGTGCCTGAAGTCCAATGAAATGGTGGATCCTGAAAGAAAGATCCATCAGTAAAGAGAAGAAGTGAACAAAGCTGATTCAGTCAGGGTCTATCATATTAATGTAGATTCATGTTTCTGTGCATGCATGTATCTGCATGGAGATGCAGTGCTCAGGTATTTAAGACGCTGACTCTGTTGATTGCAAGATCGGCAGGTTGGTAGTTCGAGGCCCGGGTGCTGCATGATGTGGGGAGCTCCTGTCACTAGTCCCAGATTCTGCCAACCTAGCAGTTTGAAAGCATGCAAATACAAGTAGATACAAGTAGGTACCACTTCAATGGGAAGATAAACAGCATTCTGTGCAATCATGCTGGGCACATGATCACAGAGTAGTCTCTGACAATGCTGACTCTTTGGCTTAGTAATGGAGATGAGCACCATTCCTTATGGTCAGACACGACTTAACAACTTTGTCAGTGGGGAATACCTTTACCTTTACTTTGTGTGTGTGCATGCATTTTACACGTTTGAATGTTGGGTCTGTGATGAGGGGGGAGTGAATAGTATGACCTTGATCACAATTGTCATGTTCTATCTTTTCTAGAGTCAATGTGGCCCTTGTGTAAAAAATAAAGTTTCCAAACTCATCTCTTAGTCCAGATTTAGGGAACCTTAACTGCTAGAGCCAAATTCAGCCATCTTAGTTTCATCATCTATATTGGGAGGACCAAATCCCTTATCCATGAAACCAACATTTGGTGATTTCCTAACATTTGTTACCATTAGTGCATTTTTCTGAATTTTGGTGTGTATGAATTCCACATGGCCCAAGATAGACTCTGCGTCAGACTCCATGTGCTTCTATAGCAGGGCATAGAGGTCATGCCCAGGTCAATTGGAGAACTGGGAAAACCCAAATCACAGAGCCCAACAGACAGTGTGGGAGTCACAAATGGGCTATCATCACCTCCATAATCAGAAAGATGAGTAGTAATGGCTGAGATTTCTCACTTGATGGGCTGGCCAGACAACTGAATCCCCTCTTATTTTCCCTTGGATATTGTCAGACCAGATTACCTCAGCTAGGCAATCTAACATCTTTGTCTAAACCTTAGCCAAAAAATCTAAATTATAGCTAAGCTATCTAGCGAACAATCCAAGCTATTGTTAAGCAATCAAGCTTCTTTTGTCTAAGCTTTTAACCAAGTGATCAGGTGCCTTGCCAGAGGCTAGATTTCATCCTTAAAAACCCCAGGATTTCTCCCCTCAGTGTCGCTAGTCCAGGCGCAGGGGGACCTCATGTCACTCTTTTCTCTGAATTGGTTAGCGGCACCTCCATCCAATCCACACTCTCGGAATGGTTGTGTCTAACACTCCTTCACCCAGTTGGACTCTGGAAGATGCTTTGTCGGTAGTACATATCGCCCACCGCAGTGCCTCAGCATCTAACCCTTGATTTCCCTAAGCCCTGTAGGAGTGCGTGTGTGCGTGTGTGCGCGCGTGTGTGTGCTTTGCTGTGTGCTCTTCTACTGTTCAATAAGTAGTGCTTTAATTGGAGAATCCTGTCTATGCATCAGTTCTCAGATCCACCGGACTCTTTGTATACATGTGGGAGACGTCTCGCAGGGTCCTTGTAGCCGACCCTCTCTCGATCTGAGCTAAATAAAATTCCCCATACTAGACTTTTGGCTACACATTTATACAGATTACTACCCCTCATTCTAATGTGCTGAAATGCCTTTAATGCTAGGTATCTGGGCTAAAATGTGGCAGCATTATTCTTTTGTTCCCTTTTACTGGAATATGGCCTTTGAGAATATCTCTGAGATTGAATTTGGCCCTCAAGCTCAGATTTTCCAGTGCTTCTGCAGCAGTACTCTGGAGTAGGTATATTGTGGCATACCAGAAGGACTCATATAAAAGTTATTTGGTGATAACAAAGGTTTGAATCATGTCCTTAGTTCATAATAAAGCAGACCCATAGAATCAATGGAAATTACCCAAGTATTGATTTATTATTGTTATTGTTGATTCACTGGGAAAGCTCAAGTTAGCACTAACAATAAAATTGTGTCTGGGTGTTTGGCATGTTCCCTATTTGTTCAATCATAGGTGTAGATGCTTTTTTCAAAATGATTTCTTAAATGAAGTTAATAAGTTTGCATTTGATTATTTTTAGCTCTCATGGCTCAGCTTCCATGTATAGTAGTCAATGGCTTACGTTCTCTGCCTCTGTGACTGATAGTGGGGGAAAGTTTTATGGCATGCAGCCAAAAGTTTCCAGTGAATAGCTGAGCTGAAAATCAAAGCCAACACATAACTTGGAAGGAATGGTTTCCAAATTTCCAAGCTAAGAACATAATTAAAATGCAAATTCCACCAAGCAAACCTTGGCTAAGAACATCCTCCAAGATGTTTTACATTTTAAAAAACATTTCATCATTCTAGAAACATAGTATTACAGAAGAAAAAGAGGAAAGATAGAAAACCATATCACACTGTATTTTGTTGCTGCTAAGATAACAGATGAGAGCCAGTGTGGCATAGTAGTTTGAGTGTTTGACTATGACTCTGGTGTCCATGGTTCGATTCCCAGTTTGGCCATGAAATCCACTGGGTGACCCTGGACAATTCACATGTTCTCAGCCTCAGGGGAAGGCAATGGCAACCCTCTTTTGAACAACTCTTGCCAAAAAAAACTGCATGATAGGTTCACCATAGTGTCACCGGAAGTCAGAAATGACTTAAAGCAGGTGTAGGCAACCTTTCCCCTTTAAGGGCCAAAAGACTTCAGCTCCCAGAATCCCAGGAGCTATTGGCCAACATGGGACTATTGGCCAACATGGCTGAGGCTTCTGGGAGCTGAAGTCCCTCGGCCCTTAAAAGGGAAAGGTTGCCTATCCTTGACTTAAAGGCACACAACAACAAGAACAACAACAAGAAGATAACAGATCCCTTTTTATTGTTTCATGGTTGGGACGTGCTGTGGAGACAAGGCAGAATAGAACATGCCTTAGCAACAGCCAATAGAATGCGAGCTGGCGGCAACCAATCAAATGGTAGACTGGAAGTGTTAAATAAGATCATTGCTGACAGTTGAAATCAGACCAGGTCTGGATGGATAACAGCCCAGAAGAAAGGGAGTGTGAGGGCTAAAGTTCAGAAGGGAGGGACTTAACTCTAGGACAGAACTCCAAATGAGGGAGATTCTAGGATTTAATTAGCCTGAGGGCTAGTGTAGAAATAAGGTGGAAAGACCACAGTTAATAAGGACAGTATGAGAGTCCTAGTAACTATTGTTCTTTAGAGTTAAATAGTATGTAACAAAGTATAACAAGAACAAGAGAATGCAATATTGTAACAAATTAAACTTTGGGCCGATGCAGATAGCCCATTTGGGTCGGCAGAGAGTCACCCCGAGGAGGGGAGGATCAGGGCTGCGGCAACCGTACGCTGTGGCCCTGATCCTCCCTTTTGCTGCCCCCAAAAGAGCAGCAAAATGCTGCTCCTTTTAGGAGTCCTAAAAGCTGGCACCATGGCTCTTCCATGCCCTTTTGCTGCAGCATGTGTACACACTGTGCCAGGAGGGTGTCCTGACATGCTGCGCCATGTTGACAGGCATGTGGCATCAGGACGGCATCAGGGTGGAGTTGGGGTGACTGATGTGCGGCTACCCCACCCCGACTCCATCCCCAGGCCAGCCCTTTAGGCTGGTCTGCAAAGCCCCATTGTTAAAAGCTAAAGGTAAGGTATTCCCCATTGACAACGTTGTCAAGTCGTGTCCAACCATAGGGGGTGGTGCATTTCAATTACTAAACCAAAGAGCCAGCATTGTCAGAGACTACTCTGTGATCATGTGGCCAGCATGATTGCACAGAAAGCTGTTTACCTTCTCAATGAAGTGGTACCTATTTATCTACTTGCATTTGCATGCTTTCAAACTGCTAGGTTGGCAAAAGCTGGGACTAGTGACAGGAGCTCACCCCATCATCCAGCACCTGGGCCTCAAACTGCCAACCTGTCAGTCTTGCAGTCAACAGAATCTGCATCTTAACCACTTCATCCCTGAAACATTGTTAACCATTATTTAAATAAAATTTTATTGTTGTTCACTTACAAGCTTGTTAGAACCTGGAATTATTATCCACACTGCTAAGAAAAAAGAAACCAAAACTGAGGAGTAAATCCACAGATATACATCACATATTGGGGCAGCGGTGGGATCACCATAACCATAGGGCTGCCATCTGAGGAAAAAAGGTTAGATGAAGGAGTGGCTCTTCACAGATGCCATAGTGTAAATGGCCAAAATACTGTTTATAGTTCTCTGTAAATGGATCCCATTTATTTCACTAGAACTTTTTCGGTACTTAAGCAAATTAAGGTATGCATAGAGATATAAGCAATATTTGGTCATGATTGCTACTGAGCTCCCACTATTATATGTTGTGGCCAAAAATCTGTGGGCATTCCCAATATTATCTTTTCCACAGTGATAAGCATAAGTATCTTGAGACATATTTATCCATAGACATTCTTACTACATTCCTCTCACCCTATCCATTTGATATTTTTAACACAAGTATAGTTTTTTTGAATTTACAAAATTCATAATACTCTCTTGAGAAATGGTCCTGAAGAAACCTAACAGTCATCACATAAAAGAAAATAGGGATAAATGGTCAGCTATTGCAATAGAGAGATGTAAATAGAAGAGTTCCCCAAGGATTTCTACTGGGATCAGTGTTTTTTAACTTGTTTATAATGATCTGGAATTCATACAGAGAGGTGAGCAGTGAGGGGTTCACATTTGCTAACAACATCAAATTATTTAGTTTGTTTATAACAAAAACAGCTTGTAAAGAACTCCAAAAGATTTATTTAAATTGAAGAAGAAGGCATTAATTTGGCTAATGGTGACTGACGAAGACAGATCTTGAGGTTATAATAATAATAATAATACATTTTTATTTATAGCCCGCCCCTCTGCGTGGCAATCGGGGCGGGGTACAACAAGTAAAAGACAGAACAAAGTTAAAAAAACATTCCCTCTTCCCATAACCCCACCCTCTCATCCCCCTAAAATAGAATTAAACAGCAAATCCAATTAAAAAATGCCACATCAGTTAAAATTAAGAATAATTAAAAACATATAACAGCACAGGAATCACAGGCAACAGGATTAAAACCTCATCTCTCCACTGAGAGTTATTCCGGGAAGGCCTGCCGGAAGAGAT